CGAAGATGGACTAGAAAATGATGGAATGGAGATTGAGGGAATTGAAAACGAAGTTCTGGAAAATCGTGCAGAGGAGAATGCCGAAAGGAGACTCATACCTGCCGCTGTACCTCCACCACCTGCACCTGCCGATAACCAAAGAGAATTTGATTTACAATTACCACAATTACATAATTTTGAGCCAAATTTGCAAAATTTGCCACAATTACCACAATTACCAAATTTCGAGCCAATTCCTAACTTACCTCCACTCCCTAATCTACCTAATGACCCGGGGCGAAATAACATGCCGTGGCCAGTGTTAAATATACCACCACCGCCACCACCTGCTCTAGATCTGTTACCTCAACCGCCACCACCTGCGCCTGATTCATACAATTTTAATGAAAGAAATCCGCAATTCCCGGAGAATTCATCAATTTATCGTGCACCGGAGCAGCATAATGACCCTGAACAACCACTCAACCAAAACGGGGAAATTATCGATTTTCCTATTGATCTAAAGCCTCTGGAAAATAATGGTTTTGATTCCTCTACTTCTGCAAATTCATCATCCTTTAAAGACATTTATGGCGTTCCTGTATCTAAGGAAAATACATCTAATTCTTCTATACAGCAAAATGACACTGCTTCAATTTCTTCTCCATTTACAAATCCTTCCTCTTCAGAATCACAATCAGCTCATATTTTTTACTCTAATGATAAAAACATTTCAATTTCAGCGTTATTAACTGAAGTCGACAAAAAGAAAAAAGCCGAAATCGAGCAAACATTGGGTTTTAGTGGTACAGATACTCATGCCTTGTCTGCAATGTCGTCGCAAAAAATGCTAGATCAAGAGGAAATGAGGTCAAAATTTCTTTTTACAGATAATAAAAAGAATAATCACTCGAATCGACGAATAAGGCCAATAAAACAAATGAAGTCACGTACAAAAGCGTCAACATCTAATTCAAAGCCTTACTTGCAAAAGATAAACACTGCATACAACTCATTACAAAATGAAATTAAAGTTCCTGTTGATAGCACTTCATCTATAAAAAGTGAGGACCTGCGTGGAGAGACCAATTTGCAAGAATCAGAAGACTCCGAAGAAGGTGGCGATTCATCGCTATTTTCAGAAAGCGAAGCTAGTAGTGAAGACAATGGTGAAACTGGAGACAATAGTGTTAGCGGGAAATCAATTAGCCCCTCTAAATTAATAGCAAATAACAGAAGTTTATATCATGTCAATCAACCTTTTCCTGCTTCCAATTCTTTCAATTCTTCAAAAAATGCGGCTCGTCAAATGAAGTGGGCATCCGAAGTAGCACCACCATCGAGGCGAAAATTGCCACAAAAATCTTTGGATCCAAATTTAATACCATTTTTGCCCGAATCAAACTCGTCAAATTGGGTGAAAAATGAAAAACCCTGGTTTGACAACTCATCTTCAAGTTCAATCACGACAAATAGGCATGGTGGTCTGGACGATTCAAGTAGCTGGGAAGAGGTTAATCCAAATAATATATTTGAAGATGATCATTATAATAGAGAAGATGATGAAGAAGAGGACGATGACGACGACGATGATGATGAATATGATGATGATGACCAAGATGAAAGTGAATCTGACGATTCACAGATATTGGAGGACGATGATAATGAAGCTAATGATGGGCAGGATCCTGATGATACATTAAATGGTAAGAATGGTAAGTCTTAAGCACTTAATATTTCAAAAAATTATTATAACTTATACTGTTATTTAAAGTAGGAGAAGCGCAAGATCATCGTGTTGATGCCCAACAAGATGCAAACGCATTTCCACTACTCCCAAGACAAGAACAAGTTCGACAGCCTAATGTAATATGGATTCCCCCTCATAATAATAATCTCAACAATGAGCCACAACAAAATAACAACGAAAATCCTGGTGTGAACCAGCCACTTGTTAATAATGCACCAATCCCTCCTATTAATCCAGCCCAGCCTTTAGTTAGAAGAGATCCCAATCAAGATCAGCCCGTTGCTCCACTGTTTAATGAGGCCATCGACGCCCCCGTTGGTGGCATGCAAAATTTCAATCAATTTGGAGAAGCAGACGAAGAAGAAGAAAATGTTGCTAATGAAGATCTCGAAGGAGTTCTTGAAGCAATTGGAATGAGAGGATCTCTATGGATGTTGATACAGAATTCGGCTTTGATGGCTCTCTTAATTGCTTTATGTCTGGGATTGTCGATTTGGATACCTTATATAGTGGGAAAACTCGCTCTTTTGGTATTTTTATTTTTATTTATGCTATATTCGCATTCTTTATTTTCTCTGCAATAATATTCATTTATACTCTCTATAGTCGAATCCTTTCTATCTGATACAAGGACCTCTGTGGTTACTACGACGTGTTACAGACCCGTTAGTTGATCTCGTTATTGATACTGCGTTACCTTGGATATGGTCAATTATATCACCTGCTCTGAGATCCGGATGGGAAGCCTACAATCCCTTCATTTATCCTTATCTTGAACAACTTGCTATAGTTGAGCCTTTACAAACTGTGGCCAGTAAATCATGGGAATATTTCTTGTACGCAATGTCTCTTACGGCACAAATCGCTCCTACCGCATCGGAAAAAACCGTCATCAATAATGCCACTACAGTAATAAACCCAGAAAATGAAATCTCACAATTAGTCCATCTTGATTATATAAGTCTAGCGTTTAAATTCATTCAACGGTATAATGAATTTGCATATGGAAATAAACCAGTCGATAAGATTGTTTGCATAATTTTTGGATACACAATTGTCATATTGGTGAGCACTTGGTATCTTGCCAGAACCAGAAACGCTTACGGTAGGACAGTTGGACGTGCAGTTCAAGAAGCGTTAAGACAACAGGGCATAGTACTAAAGGTAGAAATTCGGATTCATATCAATTTTAATATTCAATTTATATGCATCGAATTAATCTATATTTTTTAATTTAAGGTGGCTTTCTTTGTGGTGATAGAATTAGTCATTTTCCCAATAATTTGTGGAATTCTATTGGATCTTTCAACTTTACCACTATTTCCCGATGCGACTCCATTAAGTCGCTTCAACTTCTATTTAGAATCTCCTTTTACTTCAATATTCCTTCATTGGTTTATTGGAACTGGTTTTATGTTTCATTTCGCAGTGTTCGTCTCTTTATGCCGTGAAATTGTGCGTCCAGGCGTAATGTGGTTTATCCGAGATCCAAATGATCCGCAATTCCATCCTATCAAAGAAATATTAGAGAGACCTGTGTTGACACAATTAAAAAAAATTGGAGCAAGCGGAATTATGTATAGTGCAATGATTGTCTTTGGCCTAGGGAGTG